GTGTGGGGATATGCTCCTGTGGTTCCAGTTACTTGAATGGCTGAGGCAGAAGGATCTCCTGAGCCCAGAAGGTCGAGGCTGTGGTGGCCGAGAGCATGCCACTGCACTCTAGCCTGGGCAACAGAGTGAGACTCCGACTCAAGAAAAAAAAGGAGGGGGAGGGGATGAGTTTAAATACCCATAATATTCAAGTGAAACTAAATTAGAACAACAAAACATGAGATGTTTTACTTTTGTTGTGCTCACACAATGTAAAATACTTTAAACAGTAATTTGACAAATACAAAAAGGATATGAGGTTATGGGTAATACTACTACATTTATTTTAGTACATAGCTGTTTAACTATGAATGAATAAAACATTCGCATGGAGTTATTCAAAATTAATATATCTGACTTCATAACTATTGCCAGAACACAAGTAACTTTACAGAAAAATTAAGTAAATGATCCACAGACGAGAATGGCTTGTACTGAAGGGTGCTATTAGGGACAGCATGTGGAACCATATCCTGGCAGTACGTGGAGACCCATGGAGGAGTTTGTTAGCAGCAAAAGTAGCAAATAGGAGGTAGGTTAACAAGTAACAAGCGAACGTTACAGAAAATTCAGATAAAAAAAAGATGGGGAAAAAACTATTCATGTATTACTCCTTTACACACAATGTCCCACCTGAGGAAATACTAAATCTAGCAAACCACTTGGATGTCCCTTCTAAGGGGACATAAAGAGGCTGCTGGTGATTATACAGGTCAAACTTATGCTAGTGCAAAATTTTCAAAAATGCATATTTCCTTGAAGCTTCCCATTCAAATTGCATGAAAAAATAAATAAAGAGATGGAACATATACTGAGATATGACTGATCAATTGAGAAATGATTTTCAGAAATCACAAGTGTGTCCTTCCACATCGTCTCTGAACAACAGACTGGACGATAAGTTACATATTATTAATGTGGGAGGAAGAAAATGAGACTGGGTTTTCTGCTCAAACAGAAAAACACCACATGGAAGATGTCCTGCAAATTACTACTGCACAACATATATTAACGAACCTGCAACGCATGTCGTTGACAGCTTCACATGCTACCATGTTAGAAAAACATAAGATATAAAATTTTGATTTTTTTGGTCACAGATAAGTTCTTCAGTGTCCAAAATTCCATTATAAGCTAAATATCATTATAATTAAATAATTGGTTCCAATGCTATCCTATATAATATGAAGTGATTTGTTTTTCACAATTTCATAAAAGTACAAGATGTCTCTGAGTGCAAAGGGTTAAATTCAGGAATGCAATTACCAGAGCCTCAGAAATTCTGCAGAAAATAGAGGCAATATAAACAACAGTGGAGAAGTCCAAGGAGTATAAGACATGGGATAAGTGTACCATAAAAAGCTATAATATATTTAAATATTGCTTTAGTATATCAAAATGGGTATGATATAGCTAGACAAAAAAGGTTAACTATTAGGATATACTATTTGCTCCAAAAAGAAAAAGTGAAATTTAAATAAACAACATCCACAAAGTATGTCTCAAAATCAGAGAAGGCACTAAAGAAAATACAATGTGTCCCATCCTTGTCCCGTCCTCATTCCCCATCCCCCTTCCCGAGTTGGAGTCTTACTCCATCGCCCAGGCTGGAGTGCAGTGGCATGTTCATGGCCATCCCAGCATTGACCTGCTGGGCTCAGGTGATTGATCCTTCCACCTCAGTTTTCCAAGTAGCCAGAACTACAGGCGTGTGCTACCACACTCGGCTAATTTTTTTTAATTGTAGAGATGAGGTCCCACCAAGTTGCCTGTGTTGTTCCGAACCTGTGTGCTCAGGTAATTCCCTCACCTCAGCCTCCCAATTTGCTGGGATTACAGCCTTAAGCCACCGTAACTGGCCTACAAGTGTCATAATTAAGACAGAAACTTGTTCAAGAATATATTCTTAAGATATCAAAGATTCCTATTTACACAGTCATAAATTCAATTGACAAAAATGTACTTTATAGTAGGTACTAAGATAAAACAAGAGTAAAAGGAATAATTAAGACTATCTTTAGAGCCAGGTACAGTGGTTCATGCCTGTAAACTGAGTACTTTGGAAGGTAGTAGAGAGAGGGTTGATTACCTTCCTTAGCCCTGGGGTTGAGACCTACAAAAATCAAAAAAATTAGCCAGGCAAGGTGGCATGCACTTGCGGTTCCAGCTACTTTGAAGGCTGAGGAAGAAGGATCGCCTGAGCCCAGCAGATCAAGGTTGTGGTAGTTGTGAGTGTACAACTGAACTTCAGCCTGGGCAACAGAGTAAGACTCTGACTCAAAAAGAAAAAAAGAGAGACTATCTTTAAAAGGTTTTGGGCCAGGCTCTGTGGCTCTGCCTGTAATCCCGCGCCTTTTGGAGGCTGAGGTAAGTGGATTGCCTGAGCCCACGGGTTCGAGACCCGCCTGGGCAGCGAGACCTCATCTCTACAATAAATAAAAAAAAAAATCAGCTGGGTGTGGTAGCACATGCCTGTAATTCTGGCTACTTGGAAGGCTGAGGCGGAAGAATCGCTGGAGCCCAGCAGGTCGAGGCTGTGGTGGCCAGGAGCGGCCACTGCACTCCAGTCTGGGCGACCGAGTGAGACTCCAACTCAAAAAAAAAAAGAAAAAAGGTTTTGGAGTTTGTGTACATGTTAGATTAATACCTGGTGAGCCACATCATCTACACTTAAAAAAGAAATCTAAAATATAGTAGTTCCCTGCAAGTGTTCCCCACATTACAGATACAAAACATATTTTAAAAAATATGGAACTACCGATAAAATAAAAACCTAGTTCATTTATAATACATGGAAATTCCCAAAATGATTATTTTTCAGCAGTGGCTTAAATACATCATGGAAAATTAAAATCAGAGGACTCATTTCAGTCAGCTATGCTCCCCATGTGGACCCGGGAATCCAGTGCTGGACCTTTTTGTCAAATGTCTTTCCTGTTCTCCTGAGCTCCAATCTCAGAAGAGCCAACCTACTTCCCTGTTACACACACCAGTAAAGTGTGGATAAAACAGAATGAACAATAGCTGAGGGACCTGGTAAAGTAAAATCCATACATTGCATCTCTTCCCTGGTTCCTGACACAGAGCCCCTAATCACTTGGCATTTTGTGGATGACAGGAGCATGAGTTGTTCTAATGAGGCAATTTCTGTGATTTCTTGGATGGCAGCTGGTCACCAGAAAGACCAGGCCATGATTAGAAGCACAGAACTTTCAGCACCAACAGCAATCTTCCAGAAAGGCGAGAGAGGGGCTAGAGATTGAGTTAATATCCATCATGCCTGCCTGACAAAGAATCCATAAAAATTGCTAAACTATGAGGTCCAGCGACCTTCTAAATACTAAGTACATGCAGCATCTGCAGAGACCACGGAAGCTCCCAGCCCCTTCCCACATACCTTGCCCTGTGAACTCTTCACCTGGTGGTAAACCATAACCTTTGAAATATATATTTTTGAGTCGGAATCTCACTCTGTCGCCCAAGCTGGAGTGCAGTGGCACGTTCAGAGCTACCGCAGCTTTTACCTGTTGGGCTCAGGCAATCCAACTCAGTCTTCAAAGTAGCTGAAACCACAGGCATGTACCAATTTGCTGGCTAATTTTTTGATTTATTGTTGAGACGAGGTCTTGACAAGCTGCCCAGGGTGGTCTCCAGTTCCTGGGCTTAGGCAATCCTCTTGCCTCCACCTCCCAAAGTGTTGGGATTACAGGCATGACACCACTGCATCCAGCCTGAAACATCTTTTATAATAAGCCAGTAAATGTGTTTTCCTAAGTTCTGTGAGCTGTCATAGCAAATTAATTGAACCCAAAAGGGTCATGAGAACCCCGACTTACAGGTGGTCAGTCAGAAGGATAAGTGACAACTTATTTTCAATTGATATCTGAAATGGGGGCAGGCCTAGGGACTCAAAACATAACCTGTGGCATCTGATTCTAACTTCAGGTAAATTGTGTCAAAATTGAATGACAGGACCACCCAAGAATTGGCTGCTGTTGGGGAGAAATTCCCACACGTTTTGGGGACCAGAAGTGAAGTATTCTGTGCTGAGTGGCACATGAGAGCAGGAAACACACTTTAGTTTTTTCCCCATCTCAAAAAGACCTGATCAGGCAAAGAGGACATGAGACAGCTCCAAACAGGTTCTGGGACACCAGATGTCAAGAGGAGCAGCCAGTGTTTCCCCATCTTTTGACTAGGTCTTCCAAGTACATGAAATGGGTAGAAGCTGAATAGGTCAAGGTATCAAGACTACAGAGCCCACAGTTCTGCTCTACATGGACAGAGAACCGAGCCTCAGATGGAAGCAACTACAGAAGGAGAGACCATGGGGGAAAGAGACCCCTTTAAGACATCCCTTCCTGTGCCCTCAGAGTCAAGGGATCAAAGAGTTCACAGAAGCCAGATGACAGAGTGTTGTCCATCATGATAAAGACTTTGCCTTGGCTGGGCACAGTGGCTCGTGCCTATAATCCCAGCACTTTGAGAGGCTGAGGAGGGATGGCTTCCTGAGCTCAGGAGTTTGAAACCAGCCTGGGGAACACAGTGAGACCTTGCCTCTACAAAATTAAATTAAATTAAAAAATTAGCCAAGCATAGTAGTGCACGCCTATAGTACCAGCTACTTGGGGGACTGAGGTGCGACATTCACCTGAACTCTGGAGGTTAAGGCTGCAGTGAACCATGATAATGTCACCGTGCTCCAGTTTGGGTGACAGTGGGACCATTACTCAGAAACAAAAAACATTTTGCCTTTGTCTTTGTTTGAGCTGCAGCACTACTAAAGGGCAACAGGACATACTATCACACGTTTGAAGGACAGTGTTAAGTGGGGGAAAAGGAAAGATTTCTGTTCAGAGCTCATAATTTAAACTTTTGTTTTCCCGGCAAATTTCTCCACTTGTAGAGAGTTTCCCAAACACTAATGCTGCTGCTTACATTCTGCTCATCTGAGCTCTTACCTCTGTTCACACCTCTGATACGTTCCCAGCCATCTGGATTTTTTGCTATTCTCACTTCACTCTCCACAGTCCAGGGCTCTCTTTCTTGCTCCAACATGGAGGTAACAGGCATGCCAGAAAGAGAGATTCCTGCTCATAAGAAGAAAATATCATTATGTGCTGGGGCCTTGACAGAATCTCAACCCTGTGCTAAGGTAGGAGAGAGGACATTGCAGATGGATCTTGGAAAATATTTCAAATCTTATCCCCTTCTGCCTCCTTCTGAAATTTAGGGAACAATGTAACATGCAGACATCTAGCTCTCTTCCAAGAACCACTGAATCACAAGCATAGCGGTAGAAAACAAGGAACTGGATATTTTAAAAGCCTGCCATAAGATTTTACGTGTACTTAGTTCTGAAACGACCGCAAGTATCACGTTGAATGTAGAACGTTCAAACAAGGGGGATAGTTAAAGTCGAGAAAAGCATGTTACCAAGCTTTTCATTTGTGCATCTAGAGAGCTTCATTTCAGTCAAACAAGGCTGGGCTCCCAAGAAGCAACAAGGGAAAACACAAAGATATCCAAGGGCACATCCTGCCTTCTGAAGGGACATTATCCTTACCCAGGGAAACCAGGTTCCTATAATTCTCCAACATCACATCCCTGTACAAAGCTTTCTGGGCAGGGTCCAGGCATGTCCACTCCTCCTGAGAGAATTCTATGGCCACATCCCTGAATGTCAAAGGCCTCTGAAATGAAAACAAAGTAAGGGGTTATAGGGAGAGTTCTTATCTTCACACAAAATGAGAAGAGGAGAAAGGTGAAAGGAGCAATTCAACTGAAGTGAGTATTCTGACAGGTATTTTTGAGCATATTATATTTCCCTAATTGTATTTTATTATTTATAATATCCTCTAAATCAGTGTGGATTTCTCATTTTTCTGGACAATACAAGAAATATACAAACAAAAAAATCGACACTGGATTATCTCTATACTATTTTTGACACACCAAGTGACATGTAGTATGTAGTTGAGCTAGAGGAAAGTATTGTCTTCAGAGATGACAAGGTTCAAAGTGACTTTAAAAACAGGTCAGAATTTAAAATCCATGCCTGGGTGTGGTAGCTCACACCTCTAATCCCAGCACATTGGGAGGTGGGGGTGAGTGGATTTCCTGAGGCTAGGGGTTCAAGACCAGCCTGGGCAACTTGGCAAGACCTCGTCTCTACAACAACAACAACAAAAATTCATGGAGCTTGATGGTACTAGCCTGTAGTTCCAGCTACTTGAAAGGTCGAGGTGAAAGGACTGCCTGAGCCCAACAGGTTGAGGCTGCAGTAGCTCTGAACATGCCACTGCACTCCAGCCTGAATAGAAATTCTGACTCAAACAACAACAAGAGAAGAAAAAAAAAAAAAGAATTTAGAATCCAAGATGAAGACAGCAATAGCAATGATGGAGAATTTGGAACACTTCCCATGGTCTAGGCATTATTCTCCATGCTTTAAATGTACTAACTTATAAAGTAACGTGATAATCAAAGATTTGTTCCCATCCTACAAGGAAGCAACTGTGTCACAGACACTAACAAACTTGCCTCAGGTCAAGCAGTTAAAAAGCCCAGAACAAGCACCTGAGCACAGATATCTAAGAAAAAGAAGTGAATCTGAAAACTCAAATAGTTAAAGAACAGATACGATTAACAAAAGTAAGCTGACAGTTGATTGCTTAACTGAGAAAACAAAACAACTGCAATAATGGAAACATAGAACTTCATAAAAGGTCATTATGTATATACACACACACATAGTATATAGCAAGCATTTACCATAGTACTATGCCTAGTACTATTTTACTCATTAATGTGACAGTGTGGAACACATTCAAGGTCATGGAAACTATTTAAGTGATAACTTCTATTGTTAAATATAAAACTGAATACGTTCTGATGGGTGATTGGTAAGAGCCATGGGCTTGCTCATGCACGTGCTCTTGCAGATATATATGTACATACTTTAATAAACTCAAGCCAGGCACAGTGGCTCATGCCAGTAATCCTAGGGTTTTGGGAGGCAAAAATGAGAGGACAGCCTAAGCAAATGGGTTCGAGATCAGTCTGGGAAACAAGGCGAGACCTCGTGTCTACAATAAATGAAAAAAATTAGCCAGGTGTGTGCCTGTGGTTCCAGCTACTTGGAAGGTTGAGGCAAAAGGATCGCCTGAGCCCAGCAGGTCGAGGCTGCGGTGGCTGTGACTGTGCCACTGCACTCCAGCCTGGGTGACAGAGTGAGACTCCAAAACAAACAAACAAACAAAAAAACCTAAAATAAGATGCGCTGTCTCTCAATGTCATATTTTTTCAATGATTTTTTTTTAAAAAATCACCATTTTAGGACACGTGCATTTTAAACACATAGGAGCAATGAAATGTGTAAACTATTCTTGATTTAGTTCACCTACGTTTTTCTGTATTGGACTAGAAAAACTGGTATGAACATCAAAAAAGAGAAAAAACAACACCACATTACTATAATGAAGGACAAAAACCACATGATCATCTTAACTGATACAAAAAAGTTATCAGAAAAAAATCCTACACCCTTTCATGATAAAAAAAATTAAATTAGGAACAGAAGACAACCTCAGGATATTAGGTTTGGAAAGGAATTCTTGGCTATTACACCAAAAGCTTACAGGAAAGAAAAGCAAGAATAGTCCAATGGAACTGTATCCAACTTCCAAGTTTCTGTACCTTAGAGGAATCAACCAGAAGAGGGAAAAGGCAACCCACACAATGGGAAAAGATTTGCAAATCGTATATCTGATAGGTGTTAATACCTAGATTGCATTAGGAATTTCTAAAACTCAGTGACAAAAAGTCAGATAACCCAATTAAAGAACGGGGGCACAGGACAAGAATAGATATTACTCCAAAGGTAAACAAATAGCCAACAAACATGTGAAAAGATGTTCATTATCCTGAATCAAAAGACAAATGCAAATAAACACCACAGTGAGATATCCTCTCATGCCCACTAGGATGGCCACTATCGACAGACAATACCACGCATTGGAGAGGATGCAGAGAGATCAGAACCCTTGTGCACGACTGGGACGCATGTAATATGGTGCATCCATTCTTGAAGTCAGTAAGAGGGTTCCTCAAGAAACTAAAAAGAGGACTACCACATGATCCAGCAATCCCACTTTTGAGTGTGTAGATGAAAGATTGAAAGCAGGCTCTTGAAGAGATATTTGCAAACCCATGCTTAATCAGAGCATTATGCACAATAACTAAAAAGAGGAAGCAACCAATATGCCTACCTACAGATGAACAGATAAATAAAATGTAGTGTATACATGCAGTGAAATATTATTCAGTCCTAAAAAAGAAGGAGCATGGTACAGTATGTAGAACCTGAGGGATATTATGCTAATGGAAACAGGTCAGTCACAAAAGGACAAATACAGTGAGTTCACTCATATGGAATACCTAAGGTAGTCAAAGGCATACTGACATAATCTAGAAAGATGGTTGACACCTGCTACAGTGAGGTGAGAGGGGGAATTAAGTGTTTACTGGGTATAGTTTCAATTTTGTAAGATGAAAAACTTCTAGAGCTACGTCGTACAATGTTAATATACCGAACGCACCTGAACTGTAAGCAAGCAAATAAACTTGACTGAAAGACAGGATCAAGGACCAGTAAAGCCAATTCTTATTAGAAGATGTGGTAATATAAAGACCTCTATGACTAGAGATCCAGTCATTCAAACACAAGAGAAACAGATGAGACTTCAATGACTCTTCACTGTCATGTCAAAAGAGAACCAACATGATTTTGAAAAAAAACAAAACGAAGGGGTTTGTCAAACTACATATGAACCTCTTATGACATACATAAAATGTAAAAATGAACCAAATACCTACAGTAAGACAAACACAAAAATTCAAATAAAATGGAGATATAGACATTATTTTAGTAAAACGTTAGGCCTAAAGGGAATGGTGTTTTTGTAATAATTTTGTAGTCATTTATTCGGCCTTCCAAATAAAAATGAAGCAAATAAAGGCAAAACAAAAAAAACAGAAAACATGAAGGAAAGATCTGTTTCACACCAACAAAAGCATAATCTAAAAACACATCAGGGAATATACAAAAAATAGGAATCACAGAATTTAAAATAGACCTTAAAATACATTGAAAGAAAATAGAGTCAATCATGAAAACCCATTTTATATTATATATGTCCAACAAATAATGAAACTTACACATGCTCACATGAGACTGAAAAATAGAAAAACAGAGGGTTGTCATTTTCACCATATTTTCAAAATATAAAAAGAATACAGTAGTAAGTTTTGTTTGAATGAGGGTGAAATCTCATGGGGCATTAGTGGGAGAGGGCACCTTTGCCACTGGGGGTGGGGGAGAATCATGCCAGATGTCAACAAAAGAGAAAATGCTTCAGCCTAGAAGAAGCCATCACTCTTGTCAACTGCCCAATCTGGAGGAACCCTCAATATCTATAGTGAAGTTGGCATGCTCAGTGTGGCATTCTTTCTAGGAAAAACTGTAAAGGACTTACATGACATTGTCATTCAGAAAATGTTCCAACAGAGATATAAAAGCAAGTTACCATGTTTCATACCAACATGAAAACACGTAAATTCTCACAGCTACCAGGATAAAATAGTAAAATAATAACTGAATAATTTTTTCTAAATCTCATAATCATGTGGAAATACATTTTTACAAAACTTGTCCTAACTCCTACCACAGAATTAACAATAGTGACTCCCAAGTGAAGGAAGGATAAATAGAGATTGACAGAAGGCCGGGCAAAGTGGCTCATGTGGGTAATCTGAGCACTTTGGGAGGCTGAGGTAAGTCAATGCTTGAGATGAGCTATGGTCACCCCACTACACTCCAGCCTGGCCAACAGAGTGAGACCCTGCCTTAGAAAGAAAAAACTGTCAGAAAAGGGAAATGGTCTATATCTTGTGGTCGAAATTGCATATTTTTGGAGAGTTATAAAGCAATCACATATAACGTTTGAAAGAAAAATAAATATATTCTCTCAATGGATGGATCAAGAATATGCCTTCAGGACAACCCCTCAGGTCTCCTCCCACTGTGGGAGCTTTTCTGTCCTCTCAATAAATCCTGCTTAAAAAAAGAAAGAAAAGCCGGGCTTGGTGGCTCAGCCTGTAATCCCGTGCCTTTGGGAAGCTGAGGTGAGTGGATTGCCTGAGCCCGCGGGTTCGAGACCCGCCTGGGCAGCGAGACCTCATCTCTACAATAAATCAAAAAATCAGCCAGGCATCGGAGTGCATGCCTGTAATTCCGGCTACTTGGAAGGCTGAGGAGGGAGGATCGCCGGAGCCTAGCAGGTGAGGATGCGGTGGCCGGGAGCGGCCACTGCACTCCAGTCTGGGCGACAGAGTGAGACTCCAACTCAAAAAAAAAAAAAAGAAAGAAAGAAAGAATATGCTTCCATCCTCTGATGACAAAAAGTTCTGCTCCGACATCTGAGCAAAAGTATAACAATTTTTACCTAGAACACTGATTTCACAGGAGTCTCTGCAGGAACACCACAATCTCCAAGGAATGGATATACTAAGAATGATTTAAACAGTCTCCTGTTGTTAGGTAGCTGCTACAAATGGTGTATAAAACAAAGTAAAAATATTTCCCCTTCCTGATCTTCTTTCCTAAAATTTAGCAGGTACTTGTGCACATGAATATAAGAATTTCACATGCAGCTCCTCTAACCCTGATCTAGAGAGCTCATGGTGCACCCAGACATGGCCCCTCAACAACCCTGCTGCCCAACAGCTCTCACACCACAGGACCCACACCCCCAACTTCATCCACGTATGGGTGTGAGCCCTTCCCAGACCATGCCCGGTGGAGCCTCCTCACACGTTCACATCACTGGGTCATGGGGAGATGGAAATCTAAGTGGAGACAAGAGGGAATGAGGTAAGGCAGGGGTGAGTGTGAGCAGACATGGCAGGCAGGATGCTTCAGACACAGAGGGGACTTTGGAAAGGGATAGAACAATCCACTGAGACATTCATCTTACCTGAGAAAGAGCCATCTCTGACGCCTTTTCTTGCCTCTTACAGACTTCTTCCTCACACACCATGACTCTTTAGAAGTCAACCCTGAATGTCAGATAATGTGCTGTTTATTACTCAGAATCAACACACTCCCTCCCTGTGCCACAATCACACACACATGAAAGACCTCACCCTGTAGAAAGACAGTCCTCTACCGCCCACTGCACCAAGGAGATAAGAACAGTAAACTGACCAACAAGTGAGTTTTGAGCCCCTTCTTCAGAACCTGCTCCCTGCCTGGTGAAGTCCACACACTGGCTGAAGCAGTGGGGAGCTGGGCTGGCTTGAGCTCCCCTCCAGTGCACAGACCCAACCCTGACCAAAACCCATGCAGAGCACAGCCACCCCTCAACTCTCTGTGGATCACAGGCTGACCTCAGCCCTCAGAAATGGAGGACACAGGGCCTTAATGTCCAGTGCTGGATGCAGACTAGAATCACTTGGAGCACTGCAAATATTAAGACCAGGCCTCTACCTGACTTACGTGAATGAGAGTCACCAGGAAGGGGGCACAAGAGACGTTTCTACAAAACACCTCAGGACTCTAATGAGAAGCCAGGGTTGAGCTCCACTCAGAGGGGCAGGCCCTACACACCTCCCACCTTCTGGCTCTGCTCTGCTCTCCCCTTGGGGCCTTGTTTTCATCAGGATCCAAATCGTGGAACTTGAAGAAAAAACACACAGAGCAGACAATATGGACCGGAGGTAGGCATGAGGGTCTGGCTGTAAGGTCAAATGAGGGAAGCCATAGGGCCACAGAAGTCCCCACTGAGAAGGTGACATCAGAACAAAGATCTGGGAAGGAAGGGTGTTTGTACTTGCAGCTGAAGGGTCAGAGAGTTCTAGGCGGAGGGACAGCCCAAGTGAGACCCTGAAGCAAGAGCTGCCTTGGCCCCAGGAAGAGGAGAAAGACTTGTGTGCCTGGAGCAGAGCAAGGACACAAGAGGAAATGAGGTCAGAAATGTCCTAAAGGGGCATATCAGGAAAGGCCCAGGGCTCCAAACTGTTATCTCCTACAGCTCACGACAGTTTCCAAATCACTCCTCCTCTCCCCTCACTCTGTCTGGGGTGCCTCCCCCTTTGGGGTCCTCTCCCTAGCCAGCTGTTCATCTCTCTGGAGAACAAAATTTTTCTCTCCATTTCTCGTTGCTTTTGTGCCCCTGCTACTTTATAGGCTTCTTTCACTGTGTCCCTTTCCAAATCCCTCACTCATCCAATACTTTCTCCTCTGTGTATGGGTTTACCGCCTTCTTCCTCTTTCTGGATGTTTCTATGTATTTTCACTTGCTCTTCGTCCCACATTCACATGGAGGGCGATGGCCTAGGATGCTCGCCTCCGGAAGGGCACGTGTTCAAGCGTGGTGGAATCTGGGCAGGAAGAACACAAGACAGGCCCGGGTCACCTCCCTAGGTGCCGGGTCAGGGGAAGCGGTGGATGCGACCGGGAGACTCGGGGAGCGGAGAGATCAGGCTTGAGGAAGGGAGGTGGTGGGCGACGGGGCTTCAGGGGGCAGAAGGGGTGTGCAAAATCCCAGGATCAGGCCACGCGGCCTCTCCTGCCCTGGGGCTGTGGCGCTGCGTCCGGGGGACCGACAGGGGCAAGGCTTGGGAGGCACACAGGGCGTGAATCCACCTCGTGGATGAGGACTTTACACCGCGCAGGGACGGCGGAAAGGTCAGGAATCGGCTTCAAGCAGGAAAATAAAGCGAAACTAGGTGTCCACATGGTTCTAGGGCATTAAAAACACACGGCAGGACAAGCCCCGGAGCTACTGACACCAAAGGGAAGCGACCGCCGGGGACTCATGAATTTGCCTAGGGTGCAGGGCGCGGCGCGGGGACATAAAGGGTTGTAGGGACCCCCGCAGTCGGATACGAAAGTGCTGGGGGACCGCGAAGTGCAGGCTTAACACAGACAAAAGGAAACTCACACGCCGTGACCTTCACTCCACGCGGTCCGCTTCCGGGTCTGCAGGAAACTGCGCACGCAGCGGAAAGACCAGAACTGGGCGGGGCCTGGAGAGTCTGGGGCGGGGTCTGGGGAGTCCGGGGCGGGGTCTGAAGGGCCAGGGGCGGGGCCTGCGTATCCCTGCTCCTGGCTCCGGGCGTGATTCTGCTCTCCCGGCTTAGAAGTCAAGACCTACCAGTGAGGCTGAGTCGGCTCCGCGGTCTGGATCTGGGGTTCTCTCTGGGAGGATCAAAATGGGAACAGGGACTGAACCCAGGAAAGTTCCTGCCACTAAAAAATTGATTTTAGCATTTTAACTAAAAGCGCTGGAATTGTCTGGGAAGGGGATGAAAACTAGAATGTGAAATGCAAAGTCCTTTGTGGGCAAAATGTGTAATTTCATGCTGATGCCCAAGGGAACAGAATAGAAATCCTTTCCGTTCTATTTTCCATTCATACCGGAGGAAGTTCACCCTGTGGTCAGTTCCAGAGACGTTCATAGGGACAATACCTGGTGTGTGGAGCATGGAGGGCAAAAGCCAGTGCTGTTAGTTCACCACCTGTTTTAATAAACACAAAACCTTTTAAAAAAATACAAATTGTGTAGCTGTTCCTTACACTACTTTATTACACACTTCAGATGATTTACCTTAAATACCTTTGAGATTAACTTTGTTGACATCATAATATCAATAATTTCTATATATACTGTAATTTCAAATTCACTCTACATGCACTCTGAATGTAATTAGAAAACCTACTTTTTATTTAAAAGTTGTAATCTATTTTAGGTCTTTATTTATTTTTTTGGTTTTCTCTTTTTGGATGTTCTGTCAATTTTGGTTACCAAAATAATCTTCAGGAGACATTTGTATTTATTTTGACCAAAAGAATAATCAGTTTTGCAATATTTCTAAGTGTATTTGGTAGGCAGATTACTCTTTCATGTGAAACCTGAAAAAAGTAAAACTTGGTTATCAATTTTAAATAACCTTGTTTCTACCAGCAATAATTTAACGACGATATCTGTGAGTTAACATATACTGGGAAGTATGATTTTCTCTCACATCTCTGTTTGTGGAAGGTTTTATCCATGAAGACGTAGTAATCAATTGAAGTATGATCATGTTTAGATAGGAAAATTAGCAAATTTAACATATTAGTGCATTAAAATGAATAGAATTCCCTGCCGTGTCACACAAATGAATAGAAAAAGATATGTCATCATAGTTTCAAAAGATGCAGTGTCTAGGATATGTTTGGGGATCTCTACAAGGTAGATTATCTTGTATTATACCAGCAGTCCCCAACCTTTTTGGCATCAGGGACCTGTTTTGTGGAAAACAATTTTTCCACGTAGTGGGGAGGGTGAGGGGTGGGGTGTTTATCAGGCACTAGATTATCCTAAGGAACACTCAACCTAGATCCCACGCATGTGCAGTTCACAATGAGGTTTGCACTCTTATGAGAATCTAATGCCGCGGCTGGTCTGACAGAAAAGGAAGTCCACTAGCCCGCGCTCACCTCCTGCTGTGCAGCCAGGTTCCTAACAGGCCACGAACCAGTACCAGCCTGCGGCCCTGAGTTTTGGGGACTCCTGTATTATGCAATATTGCTAAGTAGCTGTCTTGCCAAGAAAATAACTTTCAACAAGAACTTCCATGATCTCATGAAAAGAGATAAGTTCATTGTGGGGACTTTCGTTAAACTGAGAACAGTAGATGAAAAGTTGATTATAGCTTAAAGTCAAGATTCTATTTTGCACAGTCATCCCTGGTATTCATGAGGGATTGGTCCTAGGAGTGTAACAGACCTCAAGTATGGCCTCTCATCACTCAAAGACAAACAGGAGACAAAGGAGGGTTGGTGGAAGGAAAGTGACATTTATTTTCAAAAGCTGGCAGATTGGGAAATGGCCAGGGTCGTGCTTCAAAAAAAAAAAAAATCATTTCAAGATCTTGGGCTGAGAGTAGGGGACTGTATAGATCAAAGATAGAATGAGGGGTATTCAGGAGTAGTGTAGGATACAGGGTAATGTGTTTTGTTTTGATGATTATCCTACTGAACAATGAGGCTTTCGGTGCAGTTTGTTCCAAAATAAGCCCCTGAAATTTCTCAAGTAATGAAGTACACAATTAGAGCAATGGGTATGTGCTTAATCACAATCATAGGATCATTGACTAGAGGGGGCCAAAGAAAAAAATACAGGAAAAAAATTAAAGAAACTCTTGTGTGTTTCTACAAGCTGCACTATGAAGTTAACGAGAAAAATAATTTTCAAAAGCTAGGATTTGCGGTTACAGGATTCTCCAGATACCAAAATCTGAGGATGCTCAACTCCCCTGTACATAATGACATAGCATTTGTATGTGACCTACTGCACATCTTCTTGTGTACTTTAAATTATCTCTAGGACAGGCGTGGTAGCTCATGCTTGTAATCCTAGTACTTTGGGAGTCAGAGGCAGAAGAATTGCTTGAGTCCAGGAGTTCAAGACCAGCCTGGGCAACATAGTGTGAGATCTCATCTCTATAAAAAAATTTTAAAATAGCTGAATGCGTTGCAGAAAGTCAAGGCAGCAGTTAACTGTGATCATGCTACTTGCATTCCAGACTGAGAAACAGAATGAGACCCAGACTCAAAGAAAAAATATGATGAAAATTAGCATATTTAAATCAGGACCTGGCATTGTATAGAATAAGACAAGAAGATGCATTGCCACATTTTTAAAAGATGCAGTATCTGGAGCCGGGCTCGGTGGCTCAGCCTGTAATCCCGCGCCTTTGGGAGGCTGAGGTGAGTGGATTGCCTGAGCCCAGGGGTTCGAGACCCGCCTGGGCAGCGAGACCTCATCTCTACAATAAAAAAAAAAAAAAATCAGCTGGGCATAGTAGCGCATGCCTGTAATTCCGGCTACTTGGAAGGCTGAGGCGGAAGGATCACCGGTGC